CGAGGATGTACACATGGTGAAAAAGTCTCAATAGGATTGTTGATGAAGCCTCACAGTAGCCTGTAAGTTGTAATCATACTAAGCTAGTTTGTGGACATGCGAGGTGCATGTAGATTCAACAACTGCTCATGCTAGTAACTGTATCAGGGGCGTAGATAGCGGGGGGGGATGGGGGGGATGCATCCCCGCCGCTTATTGACGTGGGGGGATGGCGTGTACAATCATCCCCTACTTTCGGAGGAAAATGGGGGATTCAAATTTTCTGGGGGAGGACCCGCATACCCCGCCTGTTTCTTACCACCCTCCTCGAAAACCTGCATTGGCCACTGTCGAGCATAACAAATTGAGCACCCCACTTCAAAAATTGTTCTGCGGCGCCTGTAGAGTACTGCTAACAAAGATTAGATTATAGAATATTTGTATGCATATCAAAAGTCAAATTTGAGTTTAACTGACAGGGCGTAGATAGCAGGGGGATGGGGGTATATCCCCCCCACACTTATTGAGGTGGGGTGGCTTTCATCCCCCTACTTTCAGGAAGAACTGGGGAAAAATTTAATATTTTACAGACAATAAATACTGGATATTTATCTACAAATCCGTCATCGCTATTCATACTCTCCATAATGTATTATTGGAAATGGAACGTGACATATATTTACTGTAAAATGGCTGTAATCGTTCCAAGAATGACATTATTTTACTGAAACTCAGACGGTTAATTTTAGACGGGTTCCCCATATACGATTTTTTTTTCAAATCCCAAAGTCTTATCACGCTCACAAAAGTTTAAATCCTTGCTTTATTCAAATTAGAATAGACCTATTGAGAGTTGGGATGTTGAATCTTCACGGGGATTGAATGGGAAAATTCTATTTTATCTCACTATTTTGGGGGGGGGATGGGGGTGCTGAGACCCGACCGGAAGTATATTCCTGATTTTGTATAAGGGGTGAAAAAATACACTTTTTTGTTCAAATCTGGTTGTCTTTCTCATATTTTTTTGCAGTTTTAACGTTCTCAGTAAAATATACGTTTTATCAAAATTTCAGGGGAGATGATTCCAGTGCTGTAGTTGTCAACGGGGGTCGGTAGTACGGGGCGTCCGCACCACACCTAGAATTTCATGGCAAAGGTATTTTAGGCCTAGGTAATCTGCCACTGGTAACCCCAGTGAGGACATGTACATAGCACAGATTTGTAGTAAGTATTTTAGTCTGGTGTCCCAAAGGTAAAAATACTCAACTCAAGTGATGTTGTTGTGATGAAGATTGTTTAATAGTGCTGCCTCATAGTGCAGGAAATTGCATCGAAGAGGTGTTACTTTCAACAAAATCCCCGGACCCCCCCCCCCCTTAAACAGGAGAGGGACATGCCCTGAAGGAGGAAAAATCCTGATATTCTATGATAGAGATGTCCAAAATTGAGTGCTTTTAGATTGCAACTTTTCAACAATTCCACACAATGGGAGGGTGACACCCCTCCAACCCCCCCCCCCCGGGCGCTTCGTGCCCTTTATAAGTCACTTCTGGATCCGCCACTGGTTTGTGTGTGTGGGAGGGGGTTGCGTGTTATTAAACCTCTGGGATTCAAAGAAAAAAATTTACCCTAGAATTTACAAATTGCACTTACAATATCAATTTTTTTTCAATTTCCTCAAAAACGGCCATCTTGAGCGGTTCTAAAATTGCTAAAATCCAAGAGCTTCCGGGGGCTCCGCCCCTGGACCCGGGCAAGGGCTCTGCCCCTGCACCCTGACAGGGGCCCTAGGGCGGGCCCCTGGACCCCACCATTCAAGGGCTTTGCGCCAAGGCGCTCGGGCGGTGTGCGCTACTCGCGCACACTCTCATATACATTGTCTCATGGAAGTAACAGCGAAATCATCCCCCCACAACTGAGGACCTGTCTACGCCACTGACTGTATCTAATGCACTGCAGGAATTTCGATTGCTGGGTTGTTGTGATTATGCAGATAGTAATATAGTGTAGCGACTTTATAAGAAATTGCCACATGTTGCACGACCATGTATATGATTTTTTCGAAATCTAAATTACTTTTTGTATAATAGGGAGTTCCTTTCTAGGTAATCTCAAATTTGAGCGTATAATACTTTTTCAAGTAATGTGTTGCAGAAATGATTTTGGAGGAGCTGACACAAAGCCATTGACTCTGCGTATAAAGCCAGTTTCGTTTTCGGGGCCACCTCAGTTTCGCCGACTTATTGGAAAGTGTTTTAATTTAACAGCCGACAGGTAACAATATAACCTTACTTTATCATTTCATCATTGGACACATTTTTTCTTATGTTATGACGAATAAGTTTTATTTTCAGAAAAAAAACATGAAAAAAGCTAGTTGTAACAAATTTCTATTTTCTTGTGTCAAATTACCATGTTGTCATGAAAGCTTGGTATACGAAGATGTATTGGGCATAATCAAAGTTTTAGCAGGTCTCTCCACTTAGGTGATAAATGGGCTCAAAGTCAACTGTTACAACCAACCCCTCTCGAAAATTTTGGGGCAAGTTGTACCACATCCGGAGATAGGTTGAAACACACCGGGGTATAGGTTGTAACAGCATTTTATCACTGTAATTCTTGCATAAATAGGGCCGCTCTTAATAATTGTTTGTTTGCAGTTACCCTACCTACCCAAACGTCATGTAGGCAAATAAAATTATTTGGGTAAGAAAATTATTTGTTTACTAACTTTGAAGTACTTCAAATTCATGCAGAAATGAACGTTTTTAAGTTTAAAAATACCATTTTTAACCTACCCAATGATTTTGAAAGTTCATGTAACCGTCTTCACTGACACCACTAACACACTAACATGTTACAACCTGCCCCACGAAATTTGTTACAACAGACCCCACCTACTAACACACTAACATGTTACAACCTGCCCCACGAAATTTGTTACAACAGACCCCACCTATGCCCAGTATGACAAAATGTCCTACTGTACATTACATATGAAAGACAATTCGAATTTTTCTTGATCACTTGTACACGTATTACATAAGTATCCAAACAATATTTGAATTAATTCCAAAACCTACAGCAGCAGAAGTGCAGACCAGCTTTTCTCAGCAGTGTCATATTTTACTTACGTATGTCAAAAATGGTTATTGCTCCTTAATGCACAAACACTATGCACATTGATAACTATTTATAGTGTGAAAGATGGCGTATGACAAGGGGATTTACGTCATGTACTATGACCGTCCCCATGTTTATAGGCTTTGAATTATTAAGCCTGTTACAACTTGCCCCTGTTACTTCTAGCCCCGGTCTCCCCTATAGAAGAAAAGAAGAGATATCTTTTTCTAGCGCAGAGTAACCAGGGCCGTAGGCTGAGCAAATTCTTAGCGGGAGGGGGGCAAATTTCAGACTCAACTGTGTAATGATGAGCGCCGATCGCAGCTCTTGATCGACGCCCATAGTGTTGTAGAGGAGGGGGGGGGTCTGAGACAAGGCTTTCACGGATAAATGACCAAAAAATCACGTTAGGATTATTTACGATTATTAGATAAGCTTATTTTTTACTTGTGCTCCAAAATCTAGGGGGCAGCTCCCCCCCCCCCAGAAGCTACGGCCCTGGTAACAGTTTGGATAATGAATCTAGCTAGGTAATGCACAACGCATATCAAATTTCATGTTCAAATACATGCTGCATTGTAACTCCAAAATACTAGCTGAGCTAGACGTTACTAGCCGATACGAGCTAGC